TCCTAGAAAGAAATAGACAAAGGACGACCCATATATTAAATACCATAACATTGCTTATCTACATCCAATACTGTTTGTTTGTTTTTTAAATTGAAACCTGGAAAAGATGTATTGCCAACCAGTCCCAGTGGACAGACTTAGGTACCCAGTGCATGGGTTTCTGAGGTTTCAGATGGCTTCATCCCCATGTACAGTCCCAATCCAACAAATTAGGTACGAGCAAGCCATGCCCTGAATTCTTCCAAACTCTGAGCTGCGAAATTCAGATATTTAAATGGATCGCATACGTTTGGATGGTAGTTGGTGTTTTAGACGAGACTGTTTCGATTTGTTTAGTCCCCCTGAATCAGGAGCCACTAAGAAGGAACCAAGTATCAAGAATGCCTACTTTCCATCGAGGACATCATAAGCATCTGTGATGTCTCTATTGAGTTGTTCAGTGCTCTAAGTAGTTCAGGTACTCAAAACAGAGTAGTCATTCATGCAGGTGACAGTCAAGGTCTGGCACTCTTACCCCATGCCTGACCGGCACATCTGCCCCGCCATTACCATCCCTCAGCCTCAGTCAGTGTTGGCAGGCAGCCGAGAGGACCCCAGTTCCTATATCCGTGTCCTTAGCTGGATGCTGGAAATCTAGTCATACCTGAAACTTCTTTTCATTAGGAACTGTGCCACTCCTTCCCTTCCAAAAGCTCCATTGTTTCATCCTTTCGCTAAAAGTTCTGTTGGTCTACCAGCAATCTTGTGGCGGGAAGAACATCCCATTCATCTTTGTGTTCCCAGAGCCTGATGGGTTGCCAACACCAAGTTCATGCATGTAGGCTGAACTTGGCTCCTAGAAGTCCTGCAGTTTTATCCTGGCCATTTTATAATCTTAGTGGGAATGGGTTAATAAGACCCAAATTGGAAACCAGATAAACTAGTTGTAGTACAGGCCTGCGGAGGAAGGAGGTTAAGATTGGCTTTCGATTTCCACCTATGCTTAGCAAAAGCTCAAGAATAAGGACCCTTAGCAAGTCAGAGAACCATAACCACATTCGCAGGGACAGACTGCTCACTATTCCAAAAGTAGGCTCCAAATACATAAGCAATTATTAGGAAATTGTGCTCGTGAAAGAGAGAGTACATTCTTCCAAAGTAGAACAATACCAGCTTGCTTCTTTGCTTGAAAGGAAGTATTGATCAGCAGCTAGTAAGTCAAAGGTTAATAACTGGGTCTGATAATTTCTGTTATCAGACACATAATTAATGATCTGGTCTCCTCTGGCTTCTGGTAGACAGAGGAACCTCTATTTTCAATGCTTTTACTGAAGACCAGGGAACTAAGCTATTCTTCCAGGGTTCTGCTGTTGGAAGGCTGGTGGGATGGGGGGGGGGTGCACACCTCCATCCCTGCCTCAGGGGAGTGAAAAAGGAAGGGTCCTATAAAGGGCACAGCAACCACCAAAATTACTAATTTGGGCCTGATTGTCTTATGGTAAAAGACGGACTCCCCCACTCTTGTGCATTATCATTCCACAAGACCACGTGCTTGGCTGATAAAACATCTCCCTCCAATTCACTTTCAGCTCTCTGGCTGATGCCCACAGACAGCTGCTAAGGCTTATAAACAGACAGTCACACCCAGGCCACTTAAGAATGTACAAAACTGGCCCTCGCCTAGCATCAAATCACATCTACTTAGTCACTCATGGTATAAGTCATAATGGTCAAAGATGAGGGTCTCTCTCTCTCTCTCTCTCTCTCTCTCTCTCTCTCTCTCTCTCTAAGAATTGCACACTAAATACAAAGGAGAGTTTGTGTCTTCAAGCAGCCTTTAAATGGTGCGCATGACTCCTACTGCAAACGGGTCCATTTCTCACTGTCTATATCAAAATGAGATTTGACTCAACATGCTCTCCTCGGAAGAAACAATAATTTCTTTGTTAGCTAAGCCCAGTGTCGTCTCATCCCTGAGCCAGTGTGGGTTGGTTCATCTCACAGATACCTTCCAAAGCATATCCTGTGACACAATCACAAAACGATAAAATTGGGAAACAGAAGTAATCATAATCACATAAAGGTTAAAGATTCAAGGAAAAACAAAGTAGTCGAAAATAACAGTGATATAAAACGCCACGAGAGGAAATCAAGACACACCAAAGTGTAGGCTTCAAAACAAATAAAGCATCCATTGATGTAGCCATAGCGGGTGGCAACACTTAGGCAAATGAACTTCCCCTGAGTACGCCAGGGAGCCAACAATCTCACTTTGGGAATATTTTTGTCCACCCATCTTTTGATGTGGTTAGTGGGGGCTCTAACTGACCTTGGTCCTCGGTGGAACAGACGGGCACTGTCAGAGCAATGCGATGCAGACCCCGGATTTACTAAATGCACATGGTGAGGGGTTACACACGTCTTCCCACGCAAAGAAATAAGCAGGAGCTGCTTTTGCTGCAGTCACACTAAGTGACATCACTCTATTTACACTAGGAGTGAACGCCTCACGTCAGAGGAGGTTTCCTTTGGAGAGAAAACTTTTAACTTTAGTGAATCTGAGTGTCTGGGAGAACTTTTTCCTTTTTCTTTTCCTCTGGCTCTGTGCTGGGTTTTCAACAATATTTCTAAATTACCACCAGTACCCGGTGACCAGCCTCCCACAGAAATGACGCTGCCTGTGCCCAACTCATCATAAAGTTTCTTCAAGACTGCAAGCTCCCTCCCCACCGTGGCCCGCCCCACCTAGCCTCAGCCCGTCACACGCCGATTTTTGCCCAGGCCATTTCTCATTTCCAATCAGGACCATACACACACAGCAGGTTCGGCTAATCAACTCCACAAAAAAAAAACTTGCCAGCGCGCTACCGCCCCCTCCCCCTCCCCGGCCGCCCTCCGAGCGGCTCGCCCCGGTACCTGCTGAGCGGGTGGCTGGAGGCGGCCCGGGGCGCGCAGCGCGGCTCTGCGCCCTGCGGCTGCGAGCGCGCGTGCGAGTGATAGGCGGTCAGCACCACGCCGCCCGAGTCCTCCACCTCCATCCTCAGCCGCGCATGTCCCCGCGCCGACCCAGAACAAAGACCCGGACCAGCGTGGACCAGCGCCGGGGAGCGGGTCAGCGGCCCAGAGCGAGCGTCCGGCGCCCCGCGGCTCCGCGGCTGGGACGGCCCCGCCCGCCCGCCCGGGGACCACGCCCACACAGCACCGCGGACCGATTAGCATATACTGAGGGCCACGCCCACACAATACAGTGAATAGATTAGCATACACCGAGGGCTACGCCCACACAATACAGAGGACAGATTAGCATACACCCCCAGGGTCACGCCCACACAGTACAGTGACTGGATTAGCATACAGCGAGAGCCACGCCCACAGAGCACAATGAACTGATTAGCATATACTGAAGGCCTCGCCCGCAGACTACAGCCGACTGATTAGCATACGCCCAGAGCCACGCCCACAGGGCCCAATGAAGGGACTAGCATACACTGAGGACCACGCCCACGGATCCCTGCTTCTAGGAAACTGGAAACCTGCCTGAAACCAGGGGCCCTAGTAAAATTTGTGTTTTTCTTCCTTTGTTTCTCTTTTCCTCTTCTCAACCTCCTGCTCGCCCCCTTCAAACGGGAGCCTTATCCCGTGGCTAGGAACATTTCCTGCCTGGCAGTCAGAAGCGAGACAGAAACTGTGCCGTAGGCAAGGGGGGAAGAGGCTAGGTGTGGAATGGGTGCTCTGGGGAAGAAATGGGAGAAAAATGTGACACTCTCGTTTAAACATCCGGATCAAAAGTTGAGGGATTGGGTTCCTTGCTGCTTGCTAGTCAAGTTACAGTAAACCTGATTTCCCTTCCAGTCGCCTGTGAGTGAAAGACTGCACTTCCTTCCTGTACCCTCAAGACTGCAGCAGCCAGACCCTTACCTCATTCTTAACATCGCTTTCCTCCACCCAGGCCTGATCACACTGACAGATACTGTCTCCAGACTGTCTGGAAGCTAGTCCCGATTGCCATGGGCTCAGTGCATGGTATGTATTTTCAGGGGGCTTTCTAAGGGGGTATAAACACACACACACACACACACACACACAGCATACCCAAAAGTGCAATATAGTCTTTCCCCTGATCATGTTTCCGACTGGAACTCTGTTTAAAAAAAAAATTCTCTCCCCTGTCCGCTGTGAAACCTCTTAGTGGCCCTCTCTCTTCCCAGCCCCTGCTCCCCCTGCCACTTTCTGGAAACTGCTCCTGCTTTTGTTACAGGAGGAACCTCATTCTGCCCTTCAATTAGCAATCTGCCCAGCCCGTGCCCTATGTGATTCCTGCTCCAGCATCCACTTGAATGATTCCTAATGGATCATGGTCTCTTCTCTGCCCCCCCCCCCCCAAAGCCCAGATGGAACCAGGAAGCTGTTCTCAGAGTGAACTGAGGGGAAATTCATTGCTAACTCAAGATCAGATTACTATTTTGCAGCCAGTTGGTGCTTCCTTCTCAGCTGCATGCTTCTGGAAGGGCTGCTGTCGGTGTTTTGCTTTTATACCCCAGAGCCACCCTTGGTTTGCACGGCAGACGCTCCTGAAAGAAGATGTGCTGGGCAGTTTTATGTCAACTTGACACAAGCAAGCTAAAGTCATCTGAAGGGAGGGAGTCTCAATTGGGAAAATGCCTTCATCACAAGATGGGGCTGTAGACAAGCCTGTAGGGCATTTTCTTAATTAGTGATTGATGGGGGAGGCCAGTCCATTGTGGGTGGGGCCATTCCTGGTCCTGGGCTCTATAAGAAAGCAGGCTGAACAAGCCAGTAAGCAGCTCCCCTCCATGGCCTCTGCATCAGCTCCTGCCTCCCCGTTCCTGTCCTGCTTGACTTCCTGTCTTCATTGCTTTTGTTACATCCAACTGTGAGCAAATAAGGTCTATTGATGGGGGAAGTCCTGTGTATATGTCAATAAAGCATGTTGGCCAATAGGGAACCAAGATAGGTGGGAGTAGGAGTCCAGGAGGACTCTGGGAAGGAGAAACACAGGGAGTCAAGATGTAACTGCCATGGGGTAGGAAGCCCGGAAATTTCTCCGGTAAGAGAAATACTTAGATTAACAATTATGGGGTAAATACTTAAGTCAGAGCTAGCCAGTAAGAAACAAGCAAGGCCAACAGCTTCATAATTAATACAGCGTCTTGTGTGTTCATTTGGGACCGCTGCAGCTCTGGAACCAGGCTGGTGGGAAGGCTTCTCTCAAGGAAAAAACTTCTCTTTACAGTCTGTCCTTTCCAATTTGCTTTTGCTCATGGTGTTTCATCACAGCAGCCTTAACTCTAAGACGGAAAAGCTCGAGGGACGAATGAGTGGGTGGATTGTGAGTGAACTGGTGAAGTCAATAGTGGTCCCTGGTAGTAGTTCTTATCTTTCAGGCTAGCCACGACATTTCTGCAAATGGTTCACAGAAGTTCGTAGCACCGAAAGAACGAACAAAAACAAGCTAGCTCTGTATGTGGTTCCATTTCTCAAATGTGTGTGCTACCAGCTCAATTAAATACAACTCTTGTCGGCCAGCACTCTTGAGTTTTCAAGTTCCAGAAAGGCGTTGGACTGCGCAGATCATATGGCAAAATTGTGTTATTCAAGCTACTTCCGTTAGCCCTTCAGATTGGCTGGTCTGATTTTACTTACAGTCTCTGTCAAGGGGCTGGAGCGCCACTGGATTAGGTCATCTGTAAGCACAAGAGAAACCAACGGGAAATCTAGAGGGATGGGAAGAAAGGTTGGGCACCAGGGTCTCTTGGCTGTGGGTGGGAGGACAGTCCTGATGTTAGCCCTCTGTGCTGCTGTCTCCGGTGTCTGGTGTCTGGTGGGACACTTGCCTGACTTTAACACTGGCTGGTCTCCAGGACTGAGCCTCTTGGGTCTTTAGGTGTCAGACTACGCATCTGGCATCGTGGATCTAATAAGATTTATCATTGTCTTGGCATCCCCAGAACTGTAGGGAGCCACTAGCGAGGGGTGGCAGCATAAGGCAGTGACGTGAGGACCTCCGGGAAGATGAATTCCCCCGGGCGGTGGGCCAGGGGCATTCGCTCTGGAATAGCAGTCTCTGCTTGTTGGAGTGAGAGCAAATGGATGTTAAGTCTGGGTTTCCTGTGGCGAGCATCGGGCTGAGAATCAGGAGACGTGATTGAGTGTCACACCAGCCAAACACCGGCAGATGCAACCCTGAGCAAGATGCTGGTTTGTAGACCTGCTTTCTGCACCTGTGGAGGAAAGGAGTCTGCCTCCTCCTGCCAGGTTCTGTCCCAGGTCTCCTAAGATAAAAGATATAAGATGTAATAAAACAAGCAAGACTTGATTTATGGTGTAACTTTTCATACACCTATTAATAATAAATGAAATGTCAATTACATGTATTTCCAGTGCATAGTGCTTCTTTAAACATGAGTGTGTGTGTGTGTGTGTGTGTGTAATTTATTCTCTTTATCTGCCCGCAGAATTTGCTGAAGACTAACTCGGTCTTTTGCGTGTCTTTGTAGATCTGTCAGTTGTTGGGCGTGACGGGCATCAGAGGGCACCAGAACACGGGGACTGAGTGAATCACAACTACTTTCTCAGAGAACAGACCAGGGAGAACGGTCAAAAAGGCCACCAGAGCTGGCTCTGGATTTGCCACTTACTGCGTATAATGCTTTAATTTCCTACTTCGAAATATGAGGGCTGACCAATAAAATGTGCACCCCGCCCCCATGACCGGAAGAAAAGCAAAGAGTCTGTCTTTAAAACATCTATCACAGCGCTAAACATAACCGAGCAGGCTACTCCTGTGTGGACTAGACACAAGCTAGAGTTATCTGAAAGGAGGGAGCCTCCCCTGAGAAAATCCCTGCCTCTGTAAGATCCAGCTATAGGGCATTTTCTTAATGATTGACACAGGATAGCCCAACCAATGGTGGGTGGGGCCATCCCTGGGTGACGGTCCTGGCTTCTGTAAGAGAGCAGGCTGAGCAAGCCATGGAGAGCAAGCCACTAAGCAGCTCCCCTCCATGGCCTCTCCATCAGCTCCCGCCTCCAGGTTCCTGCCCTGTTTGAGTTCTTGTCCTAACTTCCTTCTGTGATAAACAGTGTTGTAGAAGTGTAAGCCGAGTTAGCCCCCCCCCTTTCCAGGTTGCTTTTTGGGTCATGGTGTTTAACTGAAGCAATAGAAACCCCAGCTAAGACAATACCATACACACTTGAACGTTGGCTCTCTTTTTCATTTCTCCAGCCAACTGACCCCCCTTTTAGCCTTTCCAGAAACATCCTTGTAGTTCAATCCTCAGAGGTAAATCAACCCAGATTTGGAGATTCCTGGGACGTTTCACATACTCTTCCGAGAGATGAGACCTACTGGGAATAAAAAAGGTCTCTCTGGACACCAGGGAGCCCCGGCTCTGAGGATTCTGTAGCGTGCAGATAACCCAGCATACTCAGTCCTATCAGGAAATGCAAGAAAAGAGGACATGGATGTAAAACCTTCATGCGGACAGAAGAAAAGTGCCCCTGGAGGCCGTGCTGCTTATCTGGCCGAAGTGCTGCTGGGGTAATCCCGGAGCTGAGCGCCAGGTCTGGGAAACAGCCGCAGCAGCTTTTGGAGGAGACCCCCACAGCCACAGGCTGAGCTGTCTCAGCAAGAGGGCCTGAGGCCACAGGGTCTCCCACCCTGATCCGGAAAGTGAAGGCACCGTTGTAGTGCGGCAGTCGGGTCCAGGCAACGATGCTCACATCACCTCACGGTGCCCCAGGGCCCTCGGGGAAGCAGTGAAGCATTGAGAGGGACAAACCCACAACTAACTTTTAGATGGACAAGGAATACTTTGACAAAGCAAGTCTTTTTGTTTACTTGTTTATTTATTTGTTTATGTATTTTTGAGACAGTTTCTCATGCATCCTAGGCTGGCTTCCTTGAGCTTTCAGCGTTGCTAAGTACACCTTCAACTTCTGGCCCATCCTCTGCCACCTCAGAGTGCCTGGATCGCGGGCATGTACCAACATGTGCAGGCGTGTGATGCTGAGCGTTGAATCCATTGCTTCATGGATGTTCAGCGAGCTCTCCACCATCTAAGCCCCCTCCTCAGCTCCAAACAAGTACGTCTTAAAGTGCCTGAAAGGGCTTTGTGTAAATTCTTCGTCGTCCGTTACGTTATCGAAACTTAAACTGCTCCTCTTAAATAAATTTCAGATCATAGAAATTTGTTTTTCTGAATGTTCTCACGATGACTCAGAATTTTCAGACCGGTCTGACTTTTTCTATTGTCTCCTCCACATCTGTTTTTGAAGAGAAATTGGAGCTATTTTTCTTCATTAGCCATTCTGGGCTCTGTGATCAATCTGGTAATTGGGTTAAGCAGATTATATCACCATGAGAGGCAGTCAGCCGGGTCACAACGAGTTATTTATGTGACAGACATAACTGAGTCACATAACAGACTTCTACAGATAAATTGAATCATTATTGATTGGAAATAAATCACTGCTAATAGACCCGGGCAGGGTGCAGGAGGGAATGTCAGCCAGCCACAGGACCGGCTGGAGAAATTGCTCAGTCAAGAACTCACTTCCCAGGGCTGGCAAAATGGTGCCGTAGGTGAAGGGATGGCCACTGTGGTGATATAGTGTTTGTGATCTAATAAAGCCACTGGAGATCAGTCTGCAAAACCGGCCATACTAGTTAGCTAGAGAGATCAGGCGGTGGTGGCACACACCTTTAATCACGGGACTCAGGAGACAGAGGCAGATGGATCTCTCTGAGTTCAAGGTCACTCAGGGCTACATGAGAGTGAATGAGTCTAAAAGAGAAACAGAGCTCACGCCTTTAATCCCAGAACTAGAGAGATACAAAAGATAGGAGCGGGGTCTCCAGTAGTCAGTCTCAGGGTGCTCCAGCCACTTTGAGGAGAGCGTAGCAGTCTGGGATTGCAGTCTGAGGTTTGGTGGAGCCAGGATCGCCTTTCAGTCTGAGGTAGAGGTAAGAGCCAGTGGCCTGCAGCTTTGCTTTCTGATCCTCAGAGTGATGCTCAAACCCCAATCTCAGTCTCTGGGTCATTTATATATTGTGTTACAGGCCACAGAAGCAGACAGAACTGCGTTTTGACTCCCAGTACACATGTAAAAAGTTGGGTGAGGTGGCGCACATCCTTAACCCGAATTCTGGGGAACCCAAGACAGGAAGATCCCGGGAGATCAGTGGCCGGTGAACTTCACTGAATTGATGAGCTCCAGGTTGAGTGAGAGACCCTGCCTCAAAGCAAAACAGAGAGCCTGGCAACTGACCTCTGACCTCTGAATATATGCATACACACATGCATGCTCACCAACACACACACACACACATAGACTGCTCCCCGAGGGGGAGAAGGCGAAACACCCAAACGTACAAAAATAGTATTAAACAAACCTTTAAGAAATCATCTTCAAATAAGAATGAGAGTTGGCTAATTGCCAAGTAGACATGGGCAGCTGGGGACTTAGAAGACAGACACCATAGTGTAGACTGGGAGCAAGTCCCAGAAAAGTGTCACGATGGCAGTTTTTCTGGACTAGAGAATATTGGAGACTAAGCAAAAAACAACCAAACAGGCCACTTCTGAGCCTGGGTGGATCTCAGTGCACTAAAGGAGCTTTAAACTGTCCCCAGTTCAGACAGAAAATCTTCTCGAATCTTTTGCCCAAGCTGGGCAAACCTAGAATCTACTTGGCATTTTATTGACACCCCCTGGAGTTTGCACTAGATATTCCTTACGCCTCTGATCCCCGCCCTGCTTCAGAGAGGACTGAATGCTGAGAAAGAAGAAAGTCTACTCTAGGTGTCCAGAATCTGAGTGGCAAACCATCCCCAGAGGAAGACCAAGGTGGAATTGAACAGCCGGTGGACATAACTTTAAAGATTCACACAGACGTCAGGAGCCGGTTTGGGAAAATGACCTTGACAGCCCCTCTCTCAGTAGCTAGCCTATTGTCAAAGACCAGTTACCTGCTTGGTTAGCGGTAACCCGGGGTGTGATAGACATCGTGCCCTGGAAAGCGATGAGATATGGACAAGGGGCTGAGGGAGAGGTAGACAGTGAGTGGCTTGGGACAGATGCAGCTCACAGGATGTCCATCAGGGAGGAGAGGGATGAGAGTTCCTGGATGGCAGCCACGGAAACCTGGCTAATTAAGACAGCAAATACCATTTCAGAAATACCCAGGGGATAGCAGAGCTTTGAAGGTCGGTGCTGAAGAAAACACAGGAAAATTAACACAACGCCAGGATACCATCTTGCTGGCTTCTCCTAACAACTCCTGAATTTTCGTTTTCTCTGCCTTCTTCAGGGGTGCAGATGCATCAGATGGGCTATGATTAGACAGCATGCTTGTCCTCCACGCGGCAGTCGCTGGGTATTGAGAAGAGAGGTCGTTACAGACCGTTTTGCTTGCTGTACATGTGAGGTAGACGCAAGAGCATGTATGCAATGATGGGAGTAGAGGGACATCTGGGTACCAGGACTGGATGCCACGGATCTGTGTTTACTAGAGCGGGATTTGGTGAATCCTTGGGGAGTCGGGATCAATTTAGCAGCCCATTTAGGGTGTGGTAGGTGATGACTTCTAGGGTCTCTGAAAGCTTCTGGGATTAGCCCAGCATCTGGTGAAAAGAAAGGCTAAAGTTTCACCCCAGTGACCAAAGATGACCGCTCAGCCTAGCGACTTAAAGAAGACCACACACCCCAGTGACACCAGAGGAGGCCACTTTCGCTGGAGTCCATTTCTGCCTCTGTAAATAGAGCATAAACCCTCCCTGTGAATTTCCAAAGAGTGTGAGGACTCGGGCACCACAGTCACAGAGAGAGGGTGAATCTCTGTGAAGAATGTCACACAGCTGGGCTCGGTGACTTTGCAGACAGGCTAGTAATGCTAAAACCTTCACAGTAGTTGCAGCACTGAGCCTTCGGGTGTGGGGGAGTGTTGGGGAAGCTGTGTATATGTTAATAAATTACTGCTGGCCAATAGGAATCTAGATAGGTGGGGCTAGGAGTCCAGGAGGATTCTGGGAAGGAGAAAGACAAGAGAGTCGAGATGTAACGCCATTGGGGTAGGATGCCCGGAAACCTCTCCGGTAAGAGACATACTTAGATTAACAATTATGGGGTAATTACTTAAAGCAGAGTTAGCCAGTAAGAGACAAGCAACGCCAACAGCTTCATAATGAATATAGCCTCCTGTGTGTTTATTTGGGACTGATGCGGATCTGGAACCAGGCAGGCAGGAAGGCTCCTCTCAAAGAAAAGCTTTTTTGTCACCGGTGAGCTGCCAGCCTGTAGTGCTCTTACCTGGACTGTTTCTGAACGGAATCCACACTGAAGCTCCCAACTCTGGGTTTTGATGTCCTGTTGAAAAACCACAACAGAGGAAATGACCACAGCCCTTTTTTTTTTTTGCTCCGGCTGCGACCTCACGACGCACAGTGACTAGCACGCGTGGGATCTGGAGACGTAAACTTACGAATGTTTAGTAAGTGATTCGGGAGTGAGTGAGTTTATAGAACACTGTGGAGACCTGTGTGTATTTCCTCTTAACCCTGACGCTGTAGGCTGATAGTTAGGAAGCCAATTAAGGTGGGTTTTTTTTTCCATTTAGTGACTACATCTAAAACCTCCCCACCCAGGAGAACTCCAGCACCACCAAGTCCAGCTCTACTCGTCAGAACCCAGAGGAGTGAGATGTCCAAGGGGGAGAGAAGGGTCCAGACTGCATCCTGTCTATAGAGCATAGGACTAGTCAAGGATGGCCACGGTGACACAGATGCATGATCACAGCATTTGGAGAAGCTGAGGCAGGGGCATCTCGAGTTGGAGGTTGGTCTGGGCTAGATAACAAGACCTTGTCAAGAAGGGAGGGAGGGAGGGAGGAAAAGAAAAACAGACAGCTCTAAGAAAAGAGAAGTAAGAGAAGAGTCAAGATGGCTGCCAGCGAATTGCCTCCGGTAGAATTACCTTTACAGTCCCATTTCCTTTGGACGGGAGCTGCAATCTGCAGGTAGCAGGCTTGCCTCTGCCTGGAAAGGCACCCTTTCTTCCATCAGCTGCTGAGGTTAACACCGAACAAAAGGGGGTGCCGAGTTCTCTGAGCTGCTTGCTGCTTTGAAAGCTGTCCTGATGCTTTCCGTAACACCCCATCATCTTGAGCCTCTTTTCGGCTGCTTTGAGGAATTTACTTTTTTTAATAGCCAGATCTCACGTGACCTTTGATTCCTACGGGGATGGCGGCAGAGACACACCTGAGTCATCAAATCCAAATCCAGGTTCGTTCTTTTCTGTAAGCAGAGGGAAAACCCCGTCACGTGTTTAGGGGGCAAGCTGCCGTGGTTTTTAATACGCATCTTTCATGCAGACTTCCAAAGCCATTTGTGAATAAAAACTCAGTTATTCCCAGGGAGTTAAAATAGAGGAAACAGGACGGGAAACCAGCATTAGAAGGCAGGAGGGCTCGATTTAAACGGCCATTAGAACGGTTGCTGGTAACGTCGCAGAGGGTGGTGCCACTTCCCCACAGAGGGAGCTTGAGAGACCAGAGCTGTCCACACAGATCTATCCCAGCTGAAGATGAGCTGTTAAATTTATCCTTAGCTTTGTAGAGTAAGATGAGCCACCTACCTGAGGACCAGAGGGGTGGACAAGCTTGCCTGCCATCCCCACCAGTCTGACTTCCTCTAGAATCCTTCACAGAGTCAGGTTTTCTGTCATTCCCCAGCAAGAACTGATTGCTAAGTCCTCAGAGAAAACAGGGTTACCTCGAGTGAGACCGCCTTACAGAACCGTACAGCTCCAGGGGGTCTTGGAATTGATTGCCCACGATGAGAGTAGGCTCAGAGGCAGTATCCCCTGAGTATGAGAGAAGCTCCCAGAAAAAGCACTGAATGGTACCATACGGAGCAACTCTCAAGGGACAGTCTTCATACCACCATTTGAGGGAGCAGCGTGAAAAGAGCCCTCCTTGCTCACGGGTGAAAGCACGGCTAAGTTCAGCGGGCGCCATCGTTTCCCTCAATGTCCCCAGGGTGCAGGCACCATCTCAAAAGGGAGGAAACCACAGTGAGAGATGGAAATTTGGGTGGGCTGAGCTTATGTCCCAAATTGAGTGATTTCCTGAGAAGTGCTCTTTCAGGTTAGAAAAGACTTCATGTTGTTGAAGTGTCAGGATCAGGCCTGGA